AACCTGGCTCACTTGAGTATTGTTCATTCTAATTGTTGGTGAAGCTGTGAGAGTATTCAGTCTCTGCCTCGACCCTATTAGCATGAATTCGGTATTGGTCATGTTCAATGTGAGTTTGTTCGCTTGTAGCCAGGTGAAGACGTTTTTTAGTTCTTCATTTAGACAAAACTGAACATTCTCAAGATTGCTTCCCACATATGTGGGGTGCGTGTCATCGGCATACATTCTCGTTTTACAATTTGATAAGCAATTTGGAAGATCGTTAATATATAATAAGAACAATAATGTTTATCATTATCGTCATCATCATTATTACTATTATCATTTTCATGCTGATGAGTGTTGAATCAAATACCTCCCGCACAGTCTTTGAAACCGCGATTGAAATGAGCACTTACAGTCAGATACAGGTTTACTACTCCCTCCTCTCTCTGCGCGCAGCTTTTCAAGGAAACTTTCGATTAACCGGATGGTTGAAGAAGCCAGAAAGAGGTTCTTGTCTATTACGTCATTGATTCAATCGAGTGCTCCCTCAAAAATCTTCGAATTTTGTGACCTTCTACGTTTCCTTTTAAAATATTATTTATCAGTTTTTCGGTGAAAATGGAAAAAAGAGATCATATTCCTGACACTGGAAAACTACAAAAAGACATCGTCAAATTTGCCGACATTCTTGGGAGATCAACTTTAAGTGTAAATGCCTAATTTTTCATTACGGACACAGAAGGGTTTCTTCAATGTCTCTTCCTCAAATTTGATTGTATTTAACAGACCTTTTACAAGGAGCCCTCGATTTTGATCCTCGTCTCTGAATATGAAAAATACTCCAAAGTGTCAAGTTTCTTTCTAGCTGACTAATCGTAACGAACATTTTTGATCGGGGAGGATCTATTGCCCAGAATTGAATGAAGTTCAGACCAACTCCATGTCTCTCGCAACTGGCAAAGAAGATCCTCTTTTAGTTTCCTTTGGGATTTTCTCCTTTGTAGTAACGAATTCAGCCTTGTTTTGTACACAAGGTGACATGCTATCATTCGAATAACATACGGAGGAGTCATGCGGATATCGCATGAGGGCTGGCTTCAATTCAACTAAAATAGGTCAAATTTTTACTCACCTTGAACGTTACTTCTAACGTTGAGTAAACTTATGTAGTAAAGGTGTAACGCAGGCTCCCAAGGACAGAGGACCAAAAGAACATTTGCCACCAGTGCCAGGTACGGTCAAGAACATGTTACATATAAATGGCACAAATGTCACACATTCGTCCTGTCATGCAAATTGGAAAGTAATCCTAAATTTATTCGCAACACATCCTTAACACTTTGGTTCTGTGTTGGCCATTTTACGAAAAATTTAAATCAATTGATCTCTTATGGATCCAAAATATTTTGACTCATGCCCAATTTCTCCTGGTGATATTATCTCTCCCGTTGATATTATTGAGAGATGTGTTTATTTCTGGTCGTAACAAACGCTGCAAAAGTTTACGTAACTTCCGGAATAGAGCGGCGGTATTCTTTGAGAAAGTGACCCTATCTTTGGTTGCAGGGCAAAGGTAAGACGAATTCGTTGAACGCTTTAAGCGAGCTCGTATAAGGGGAAATTTCTCTTGGATAGGAGCATAATGGATCAGAACGTGAGCATAAAACGTGAAGAAGTGGACTATGGAAAAGGTGAGTTTTGGCTTCAAGTGGTTTAATTGAGTGATCAACGAGCTCACTTTTCCCCGCGCGTATCATTTCGACCACGCGGTTGACCACCATGCATGCTTTATTTTGTTCTCTTTTCTTGGCTGAAATTAATTCGTCAAAAAGTGTAGCTGTTTCTGTAACATGTAAACACACACTGAGCGAAAAAGGAAGCAAATTTTACTTCAGTAGAGGCTGATCTCTGGCTGATGCGTAGTGTACGAAGAAAATTACCCAATTATCAGTCACCCAAGACTTGATGTCCTACTGAGAGTTGAACTCAAGTAATTATCCATAAATTGGATAAAGTGTATCCGATTTTAACATGACTAAGAGATCGTTCACATTCTCTTGATATGCTAAAGCCGAATTATATCAGACCTCGGACGAATCAGAACATAACATGGAAAAATCTCAATTTCCGTGCCTTTCTGTCGATTTGCTCTGCTTAATGGGCTGTAAACAATGTTTTGTTTATGCCCTTTGTAAATTGAACTTCGTACTTAGAAGAGAGCCCTTTCCTTAACTTCTATCTGCGCATTAACAAATCATGAACTCCACACTCTTATTTTGTGATTTTTGAAAAACTAAAAGTACGAAAAATAACTGCATGCTTCGTGAAAAATCCGTATTTGGAACATTACTTGCTTTCATAGCCCCTTCTCTTTTGTACCCCCCGTGGAACCTTCCCCCCCCCCCTCCCCCTGGCTTCATCAAACAGTCTGATCAGCAGTTGTGAACTAATTTGGTTGATTTAGTGACGTGTTTATTATGTTTTTTTTTTCTCTTAGTCATATTTTGAGAGAATTTGGTTTTAAACTATGAGTTTGGACCACGCCCTGATTGACCCTTTCCTTCCCCCTTCCCCCAGCCCTCCTCTTTCCGCTCATATATTAGCTGCACAGTGATCTGGACAATCATTCAATTCAGTTATCAACGACTAACATTCTATTGAACAAACAGAGACCAGCTATAATGAACCAGCTGCGCAATTTGTATCGGCTATCTTACTGATCACAGAGTCAAAGTCTCCTAATGCTATAACATAGCTGCTCCATTATTAACGAGCAGACAAATGAAAAAACACTTCTTAACAGATGAGGGAAGTTTAAGGCAATCAGGAACTGTAAGGAGAAAGGCACCGGGGCCAAAACAGGACAGAAAAGGATTACGCCGCAAGCGAACAGCCTTCACTGTACGGCAACTGGAGAGGATGCAGTCGGTTTTTCAATGGAATAAGTATCCCGGAGTAACTGTTCGTGAGGCGCTGGCCGCTGAACTGGGGATTAGCGAGGCTTGTGTACAGGTCAGATCTTGTAATGAAACCCTTTATATTCTCAAGATATGATTTTCACTTTTTCTACATATACATTTTTATTTATGTTTTATTGAGATAACGGCCTCTATCCTATATGTTTGTCCACTTCTATCGCGTTTTCCATTATATCCTCAAAATAAATCTGAAATTTAATCCTTGAACTCCCAGAATCTGATTGTTCATTCCCCCCTCCAGCTGCTACACTTTTCCTTGTAAATTAGTAACGAGAATATTGGTGTTAGATAAAATAATGACTTCTACCTGATGAGTTAAGGTATTCTCGTTACTTTTTTGCTGAATAATGTATGGATATTTACAGTAAAGACTTATTTCTATTCTACTATTCATCAATGAAATACTGATGCTTTCTGATGCCACTGCTATAATTACAAGGTTTCAGTTTAGTATCTCTCGCGATCTAAAATAGGGGAGTTTATTTTCAGCTACACAACTACTCTCTCTCAACTTTGATAGTCTGATGCAATGCTTCTTTAGAAGCTGCAAAGAGTTTTATTTCTCGCACCTTTCATCAGTGAGCTTTCTTCTGAGAATCTGAAGCAAAAATTTCGTCATCTACAATTTTAGGTCTGGTTTCAAAATCGTCGATCTAAATGGCGCAAGAGAGAAAGCAACATTCGAACGATACGCTGCGAGGAGCGTCCTGATGCGTGCGCATTTTATACCTATATCAACGCTGAGCGAAGTTGGCCTCTTCCACAGACGCACAATTACTGCTCGTGTCAAGTTATGTCTCATGGCGTGTTTGGAGTAGTGCCAGTTATAGCTGGCTCCATGAGTGCTGGCTTAATCAATGACAACCGACTTACTACTTGTGCTTCTTTACACCCGACGCATGTGCTGTCCTATGAGCAAGGAGAAGAGAGAGAAGAGCGTACTGGAATTCTGAAACCAAATGGCGCAGGCCCGAGATTTACTCACCTTAATCTGAGTTCGAGAAGTCAGAAAGAAGTTTTCTCAGGGGGGCGTTCTGCGGATGAAGTTATCAGTGCAGATGGACTTCTGTGCATGCATTCTATGCCACTTAACTAAGTTTTAAAAATCAAAAGGTCACGAATTAATTAGAAGAGATCAGAAAACCCCTGGCAATTTGCTGCAGATCAATCATGAATGCCTTTATGCATGTTAGCATCCAGAACATTCAACAAAAACATAAGAGAGATTGAGGATATGTAACCAGATTTTGAACCTACGTGCATTTACAGTTTAAGATTTAATCTTGGAGAACATTGATTATCACATAACTTGCTTTATTAGGCTTTGGTATTTGCCTTGTAGTTTGAGCCTCAGCTATGCTTCTACCCATTTCCTACATTTATTGATCGAGTTTTTCGATAAAAAACAAGATAAAAAGATCTACATTCTACGAGAGAAGAACGAAACTAAAAACATCATCTGCTAGGAAATGATGGGTGTGATTCCGATCATTAACTTATCGGGATGAAAATCGCCAGAGATCTATGTCGAGCTTTAAGGGTAGGTGGTAATTTGTTTAAATTCAAGTACAATCTTCTGTTTTACTGGTTCATTCCGGTTTAAGCGATTATTTACTAGATATGCAGTGACTCAAAATTTCTCCGGCTGCTTTCTCTCAAAATACCAAAACGTGTCTGAGAGGTTTTTAATTCCTTTTGGAAATATGCATTAGGGTGAGTGATGATTCAACATAAGACTTGCAAGGCCAACCTCAGATTTTCTCCTCCATATATTTTGTACTTTTTAATTTAGATGCATCTTGATTACACCGTTATGTTATGCTTGAAGTAATGTGCTTACTTATCACTGCTTTAAAGCATTAAAATCTCTCATGAAATGTAAATACTGTAGAAGAAGCTTCTCAAGTTACCGATCGATTCATGTCCTCTACTGGCACCAGTATGATGTCGGCAACTTTCTCTTTAGGAAAGAAAATTCAAAATGGAAAGTGCTGGTATTGATGTTTAAAACAGTTGTTCTGATAGGGAAAGTGGCTCCAAGAGAACGTCAGCATAAAAGTGAAATTAAGAATAATTTGTCGACAAAACTGTGTCAAGGTTCGGCTGACCCTGAATAGGGAAGACTGTTTCACGTGAGAGAACAATTTTCACTTCGGTTGTTGAAAGTAATCTGAGATTGCAGTAGATTTGTCTTACTACGCTCAATGAGGCTCACGAGGCTCACGTCACCCTCCCTACTAATCGGATTCAAAGCTACAACCAATCACACCTTGGTCACAAGCGTTTTCTCCCGCGCTTGAAGCAGTCTGATTGTGGCGCGAACATCGGTTGTGGTATTACAACGCTCAATTGAGCGGCACACGTTCACACATCATCGCCACAAATATATTTCAATCAATTTTGTCAGGTAACTAAGTAAATTACCCCAATTTGTGTCTTTTGGAAAAGGGACATGAAATAAGAGTCATAATTTGATTTGGGCCGGGTTCTCAAGAAAAAGTTTAAGCTCATCTTTTTGATGGGGGTGTAAAGCAGTTTGTTTTTCCAGCGGTTTTAAAATGACCGAAATACACTATATTGCGTCACTGCAAGATTAAAGAGATTTTCAAATGATTTCTGGAGCCAAATATTCAGTATTTACAGAATTCCTTATTCATACTGCTATTAAGTTTCTACTCAGGGTCAGAAATCAAATAAAATTTTCGACTTGCGTTCTCCAATCTCACGCCGAGAAAAATATAATTATCGATGTTGGTGTCAAGCAACCAAACGATCTACACAGCTCACGGAATTATAGATCGACATGGGTCAAATGAATCAGGAAATTGGAAAATTGCTTTTGACCATTTTTTGTTTATTGTCTCTAATCGGCATCTTAAAAGACCTTTTTTTAACGGAGGGGTTCTTTATCATAGTCTTCGCATAATTACCTTGATGTGGATATCGATTTTTTTTCTTTTACTGTGGGTTTACGTAGAGGACCTCTTCTTACAAGAAAACCATCGCACTCTTAAAGATATCTTTTTGTGTACGCCTCGTGACCACATAAAAAGCTTTAGTAGTTGCAAATGGACGATAAGAACTCCTCTGAGCTTATTAAAGCATTTTTCTGTCTGCTCACCTTGTCATGGATCTCACCGTTATGTATGTAATTAGTGCAATAATAAGTTCGGAGAGCTTCTTAGGAAATTGTTCCATTGTCTTCAATTTAAAGAGACGGGCTCAAGCAATTACTCCGGAAAGGACGAAATTGTTCAATAGATCTTCTAGGATATGTGACTGCTTGGAAATTGCTATTGTTATAATTAACAGTGGTCATAATATATCTACGACTTTGACAAGTCCTTTCTCAACTTGAAAAAAAAAAAAAAAAAAGGGAGATGTTTGTCCTGAAAGAGATCGCTGTGCAGTGGTCTGAAGTGTTGTCATTGAGGAAGAAATTACTCGATGATTTTGGCCCAGAGTCTGTCAGATTAAAGCTGAAAATTAAAGAAATTCGGGATGTTTTTTTCCGGCACTCAACGGACTTAGTTTATAACGCACATGATTTGCGATCATGTAGGGAAGGGAAGCAAGGAAAAATTACGGGGTGCCTGCACAAACCGAAACAGCAAGCTGTAAGACGGGAATCGGTTCAGTCCAAGTTGTCCATGTTCGGTTTGCAGATGTGCTGCAAAAATTAATTTCCTCTAAAGTTGGTTGTGAACACCAAATAAACACCAATATATTGGTTGCTTTCCAACTATAAGATTTTTAACACACTATTGTTCGTTCAATTCTGTACATCCTGTGGCCTCGAATTCATTTATCTTGATTCATTATGATTATCGTTTTCAAGCTGTTGGTGACAAGAACAGTCTAGTTTTTTTTTATTATTTTTTCATATGGAAATTTAAGTCGCTCTCCACAACTGAGTTTATTTTACATAAAAATGGGCAAACTTAAAAACTTCCTTGTTCGCCAAATTATATTTGTTTCATTTCGCAACGAACCACTCTCTTGGCATGAAGTTGATTGACAGATGTCATTAAAATTTTGATTTTAACGAAAGATACTTTTCACTATTTCATCCCACTTTTTAGACCCTTTTTTCGAAAGTACATTCACCAGGTTATTTTCATTAGAAATTTGCGCTGAGAGTGAACCTGTTTCATGATTCGGCAGTTTCAGCTGTGCAAACTCCTTAGCATCTGTCTTACTGCCTCATTTACTTCACGCAAGCGCCAACAATAAATGAGAGGGTTCAGGGAAGAATTGACAAAAATTAAAGTTGCCCCAAGCTCATACGATAAACGATTCGCACTTGTAATGCCTTTAGCCTCTATAACAGCAACGGTACACAAATAGGGCGTGAAACAAACAGTTAAAAGACAATACACCCAGAATGAACCCACCGCTTGCTTCTTGATTTTTTGTACGTTTATTTCGGTGGCTTCTTGTTCCTCTTTGTCAAAAGCCTGACTCACAGACGAAATTTGCACTCGTATGACCGACCTATGATGCTGCACGATCCGATAAATGTTCATGTAAGAATAAGAAGCAATGCAGAGACTTACGCTGATGATAGAAATCGCAACTATCTTCACAAGTTCGTGTTGCCATAGCCACAGCGAACCAAATGTTGAACTGGATAACCAGACACCCACGAGAAGTAAAATTGCCCGTCGTATTGTTACGAGCTCCCCATATCTTAAGTGAAGTCGAAGAGCTAGGTACCGGTCCACACTTACAGCGGTAACTGTCAGCAGAGATACGATGCACAGGGCGTTCGCTGCGATTTCCACAGCAATTCCAGCATCGCAGAATAGCGGTTGGTCTCGGATAACCTTGGCTAATATTTGCGAAAAAAACAGAGGATGGACTATTAAACCGACACCAAGATCGGAGAGTGCCAAACCGAAAAGAAGTGTGCCAGACGGAGTGTGAAGCGTTGGCGTCCGGCGAATAGCAAAAAGGATTACCAGATTAAATGCCATAGCCGTGATGGAAAAAACGATGTTTACTACGCAGTTGAAAATGTACCAGGCGGAAGAAAATTCTCCCATGTTAAAATGCGTGTTGGTAAAATGATAACAAATTTCTTTCACCGAGTCCCCAGTTTTGTTTTCTGTGTTTAATACCATACTTAAGCTTTGATGAAGCTGTCGTCTTTAGTACTTTGACCGGATATGAACCAGTTTCAACTTTACTTCCAAAGAGACAAGAAATTCCTTTTAATTTGAGGTCGAAGCATGAAAACGTCGAACAAGAAATCTACCAGCCTCTCCAACAACATTTGTCCGGCGGACAATAACAACAATGATATTGAAACGTAAAGAGTATTTGCGTCGATTTAAAAGCAAATTTAGAAAGAAGCGTTAATTGGAGATGATCCAAACGCGGCAATATCTGTTATTACATCTGTCAGTGAAACAAACTTTGCAGTCGATCTGATGAGTTTTGAGCTCTTTCCTGCCTTTAAGAGGTGAATTTCATTTTGCATGGAAACGGAAATTGAGCAAACAAAATGCTAAACTGACAAGAAAGTGACTCATGACTGGCAGTTTAAAATTGCTTCTAGATTAAATTAAAACAACAAAAAGATTCGTTTAAATGAGCATGTTACAAAGCGCGGTGATTCATAATTGAAAAAATCCTAGAGGTGAAAAAAAAAAGAAAAACGGATTGAATCCTCAATAACGACTCATAATTTGCCTAGAGACTCTCGTCGAATTGGTTTGATTATTTAGTTCTTATTAACCGAGCGGGAGGTCTGTATGGGAGAATCTTGACCGAGGTCAAGATTCTTTATATGCCATTTTTGTATATTCTTTGTACCTTCTTTTTCTATATCGGTCTAGAACCCGGTCTAGATGAAAAAATCCAGACCGCTTTCAATATTGATCTCAGCCAATCAAATTCGTGAATTTGGTAGTTCCCATTCTTTGTGAGACACAGCCATATAATAAAGTGCGATATTAAATTCTGCTTCTCAGGATAGAAGCTCTTATGTTCTGAAAAATTAGAATTTCCAGCAAGAATCTATTTAAAACAATTTTATAATTACCGACTTCAGTTCGCAAGGCGCACAAAGCTGCTGAGTTGCAAAAGGGACGAACACCAGGGTTCTCGTTTCAAATTCAACGCATTGTGCAAAAGATTATCAAGATATTGTGGGAAAAAAATCAGCAATACTCAGTTGACAATTAATAGGTGTCGTTATAAGTTTCTGAAGACTCTGTCAGCTGCAAATCAGTTCTTAGAAGCGGGGATTGAAGTTGACAAAAAAAACGCGGAATTGGTTTTGCATGCGCACTGCTGCTAAAGGGGTATGGGTTGAGTCGGAGGTGCGTTTTTCGTTTTTAATCTCGCTCTGGCACTCTCTCTGCGGAAAGGAGAGCAAACTGGAAATCAGGTCAGCCGGTGAATGTGTAAAGGTTAGCTATCCAGAGCGCGTGTAATGACCTCTTTACGTTTCCGGGCTATCAACTACAAACCGTTGTATAAACTTCCAGGCAACACCTACACACAGTTTGGTTTTATTCCGATTTTCAGGCGTGACTCAAAGCAACAGACTTTCAAGTGCTTCAGATGTTTTTAGTCAGTCATAAACACACTTCAGTAGTTTCGCTCGTATTATTATCGTCTTTCACGTAGGTCATATTCGATCGATTTTATGCTGAGATAGACCGTGGAATGTATTTGAAACACTATAAACCAAAATGCTAGAAAATGAAGTAATATTGAGATAATAAATCTCTCATTCAAACATTTTGCTCAGTGTTCGTACTTTTCTTCACCCTCTTGAGGCTCAAAAAAATAATTCGCAACCTGCAAAATGTCCACGCGGATTATATGTTAAACCAATGAATCAGGTGTATATTTTCACCTTTACGATAGAGCTGTAGGCAGGTATCCATACCTACAACTGCTGAGACTTTATAATACTTATTTAAGAATAATAGCAGGAGGAGAACTGATTGTGGTTGAAAAGAAGTAGACCAATCTTTTACCAGTCTATGAATAAGCTGCAAGTTGTCTATCTGTTGATCCTAGGAAGGGAACACTTAATGCAAACATCTTTTTTAATGAAAACGCAGAAAATGAGAAGGTGAAGTTATTGAAGCATTCGTACTGAAAATCTTTTTTAAAAAGGTCAGAAAAAAACAAACAAACACAAGAATCAGGAAGTTTTAGCATTTGACAGATTTAAGGGGAAAAACCAACGAAATTTCATATATCTATTCCATGACGCAATTACAACTGAAACGTAATAGCCTAGAGACAAGTGCTTACAAGTATCTCTGAATAGAATAAATTATCAAAAAATAATAAAAGAATTAGTGCCCTCAAAACTGTTTTGAGTTTCAACTCATCCACTCGTATTAATTGTATTATTGGATCTGCACTGGACAAATAGTTTCGAAGTTTTTCTCACCGCATTACGAATATCTTGCAAACGCCAACAATAAAACAAAGGGTTGAGGGAAGAGTTTATGAAAACAAGGGTGGCTGTTGTATCGTACGCAAACCTAATTCCAAGTGTTAAGCTAGTCTGAGTTATTGCGGCCACAACGCATAAATATGGCAAATAGCAGACGATGATAGAACAATACACCCAGAATGTACTTAGAGCGTGAGATGTGAAACTCGCCATGTTCATTGTCTGTTCTCTGGTGCCTCCCTGTTCCAAGGAACATTTCAACTTCACTTCGCGATGATAGTGCCGTGAAACAACGCGATAAATTTGAAAATAACAGAACGAAGCGGCTGAAAAACATACCAAAATTATTATGATCGCATTCCCTTTGACCATGTCAGGTTTGTAGAGCCATAGTGTACCAGAAAAAGCCCCGATAATCCAGATGATTACCAAAACGATTATTACACGTTTGATTGTGATAAATTCTTTGTATCTAAGGTGGAGGCGAAGAGCCAAATACCTGTCCAGGCTAACCGCTATTACAGTCAAAAGAGAAATGATACACAAAGCGTTTGCTGTTACTTCTACTGTGATTCCAGCTTCGCAGAAAATGTCTTTGTTTTGGGTCACTTTTCCCAACATTTGCGCGAAGAACAGGGGATGAACAATCACGCCAACTCCAAGGTCAGACAGCGCTAGACCAGAGAGGAGCGCGTTCGACGGAGAATGAAGCGAAGGAGTCCTTCGAATGGCGACAAGAACCAATAGATTGGCAAGCGAAGCAGCGATGGAAAAGAGAGCGTTTAACACACAAATTAGTATGTACCAACCAAGACAGATGTCTGCAATTTCGAAGTCGATAGCGCTGAAGTGATAGCGCGAAAACGTTTCGTAATCTTGGGTGATGTTCTCCGTTTTTTCCGAAGTACTGGTGTCAGTAGCCCCTGGATTTTTTGGCTCCATACTTCTTTAGTTCCTCACCAAAGGGCTTGTGTCAATTCTTTTCTCATTAAGCCCTGATGCCGGATGAACGTGTGCTAATTTAAATGCGATCTTTTATTTGACATTCACGTCCTGAAAGGATGGACACAAAAACGATTGTTGGCTAATCTTGGTATTGTCAAACAGAAAACAACGAATACTGCTGGCTGTTTATCACATTACAATAAGTCGTAAATTGCCAGCAGCTATCCATATTTCTGCTACTATGCAACTAAAGGGGAACGTGAAAAAATGCACTGTGTTTGCCATAACGAGTAATGATTACATATACTGAGTTTTTACCCTTGAACAGTTTCCTTAAAAATCAAATTGCTTATAATGAAATTAATTCCATATCTTGTTTACCTATCAGCGTACGTTTAAATTAGATTAAATGGTTCTTTAAGTAACATCCATAACGAGCCCTAAAAGCAATTTAGTACTGGAGAATGACGTACCTTGGTTACATTTAGCGCCTTGATGATTTTCAAAACAGAAAGGCTGAGGCAGAAATTCCCTATTTTTAGTAAACATTGAGATAAGTAAAATGAAAAGAATCAAAGTTATCTGAGAAAGGAATGCAGTTTTGACTTTTGCTTAAGGTCATTGTTAACCAGAATGATTACAAAGACTATAGATATGAACATGTGACGAGAATTTCGTTGTACATCTAGCATTTTAATGTATTCTCCTAAAGAGAAGAAACTGCTCATCGTTAAAAAGCTGTCTACAAAAGTTAAAATACTCATTTTAGACAGGTGCAAATAGGAGCCTAAAACAGAAATTGGCATGGGACCATGGCAATTTGCCTCTTATAAGTAAGGGGACAGGACTATAAATATATCTTATTAACCAAGCGTGAGGGCCGTACTGGGAGAATATCGGCCCGAGGACTTGACAGTACGGACCGAGCGCAGCGAGGTCCGTACAAAAAAGACCGAGGGCCGATATTCTTCCAGTACGGTCCCGAGCAAGCTTGGTTAATAAGAGATTTATTATACGACTGAAGTTCAAAGGGACACAAGTGCGGTATCATTCGGGACCATTCGGGACAGTGCCCGGTCCAATACTGAGAGAATATTGACCGGCAATAGAGCATTTTGATTGGTTGATTTTAGTTATTGGCCCTCTGACTGCCCGAGTCGTGTAATAAA